CGCTCGAGGCAACATCCGCGAGATCACCAGTGGCACCCAGCAGGCCCTTCGAGTGCTGGCGGCCATCAGGAGACGACCACGCTCTGGCTTCGTTAGTATTGTGCTTGGAAACAATGCACCGGTCTATCACCTCCCTGCTGCCTTCAATGAGCTCAACGAGCACTTTGCGGCGGAGGCGAGGCAACTTGGTGTGCACACCCTCGACATAAAGCAGCTCCTCGATCGCGCTGAATTCAAAGATCTGTGGCATCTGTGGCGCAGTGACAGAAACAGAGCCCTGCTTGGACCCTACTTCGCGAGGGAGGTGCAGGTGTTGTTGTTGGAAGCCACAACGGCCCGGTACTACTGCAGCCTGAAAAGGCTTGCCGAGAAGTTTCCATTCGACCCGAATGACTACTTCACCATCGAGGAGCGCACCGAGTTGGTGAGTCAGATCCATGCCGGGCAGATGGAGGGCGTCTCGACAGCCAGAGAAATCAACAGGACTGCAGAACGACCCGAGGCCATTTCGCGGGAGGCAGCCAACGACTCCTTGAATGAGTTGAATGCGATTGAAGACTTCTACTTGTCAAGAATCCCCGCGAACCTTGCAGTGCCTCCTCTCCCAGCAGAACTTGTTCGATCAGCTGAGGAAGCACAGCCTGCAAGGAAGCCAGTGGAAGAACAGAGTGCCGGGGGAAACCCTGAGCCGGGTCCAGATGAGGTGGACACCACCGTTCACCGAGAGATCGACGCCAACTTCGCCGTCGACACATTGGGCGATCTTCCGGACCTGGCTGTTCGAAGTTCCACCAGAGAAGTGGCCGAAGGTGCAGAGCCGTCGCTTGGGGCTCCCCGAGCTGAAGCGCTTCTCCGGCATCATCCGGGAGGCAAAAGAAGGGCGGCAAGTGCCTCGAAATGGATGCCGAGGGATGGGTCAAGGTCGAAGCCGTGCTCGAGTACCTCAAGGCCGAGTCGGATGAGACCTGGGCGCTCGCAGAGGTGATCGATGCGTTTAAGTTCGACAAGAAGCAACGATTCGCTCTGCGAGGCCCGGCTAGCCCCCATAGCAAGCTTCTCATCCCAGTCTGGCCCTACCAGATCCGGGCAAACCAGGGCCACAGTCAAGAGGCGGTGAACAACAGTCCGGAGTTGGCCACCGCGACTGCCGTGTCGTTCTTTGACCCGAGGCCCAGACCGTTGCTGG